ATAGAGAATGAATAACAAATTACAAAACAAATATAGGTAAAATGAATGCGTTGAGAGAAGACTGGGAAAGTAGTGGTTGAATGAAACTGATGAGAACTGCAGAAAGAGAGGTGAGAATTTTAAAAATAAAAAGTGTATGGATGACCTGGCATACAAATGTTGTGTAAACAAAGATGGTCTGCATAGAAAGTATAGAGAGATGTAGTAAATCTGGGCTTGATAAATATGTATGCATGTTCATTTAGATTTTTTTGTGTACTACTGAAATAAAAGGGTTTGAACACTTTTAAACTTCCGTTACGATTAGCTTTAATTCTGCTAATGCTGTTTTTTATAAATACATATTTTAACCATTTTGCTTTTGCAATATATTTTTTAATTGTTATTAAGCCATTCAAGGAACAGCAGTACTGAAAGGCCTCATTTTAAAATTATGCAAAAGCACACTTAATTTATTAATTATCAAGTGTCAAGAGTTAGTTTAAACTTGCATAATTTGGATCTTTTTTGGAATAAGCGTAAAATACAAAGACATAAAAATGGGGAACAATGTAAAATAGCTCTTAAATAACAACCCAATTAAAAATTGTAATAATCCTTTGAGTTAATTCCCAGCAATAGCTCCTGTGTTGAAACTTTTAAAGGTAAAAACCCAAATTACTTTGCATTACAGTATATATTATAGTACTGATTATGATATTTTTGGTAATAGTATAATATAAATAACAATATTGGAGGTGTTGACAGTATTTAAAATGATGAAAGCAGCATCATGCCAAAGGTCCACCCCTTTTGTCCATCCATGCAATGTCATGATGGCGTTCAAAAGAGGTGGAGGTTACCGTGTAACAGTGCTTTCGTCATCTACCCCACTCGCAAATGCCCCTTATAGATTGATAGAGACTGTTATGCAAATTGCAGTTATTTCAACAGGAAGAAAACAGATCAAACTCCATGTTTGTGAGGGATCTCATCCACCGTATTACAACTTAGAAATACTGTAAAATTATAATATTTATCCCTAGCCAGCCCTGGGCCAGGCCTGAAACTAGGTAAGAGCTGTAGGCTCATCGTAGGATTTGATTGTAACATTTTATATAACAATCAGCTACAATTCATTTACTGTAAATTGTATTTATTTCTCTTGCAATTATTTTCCAATGTGAAAAGTCTTCAAGTGAACTTATCTCAGGAAAATAGTTTAATACCATACGCACACACACCCAATTAGGATTAACAAGTGCCTCTCACAATAAGTTGTTTCTTAGAAATATCTGCATTATTTAGCTCCAAACTTTGCCTTGAAGATACATACTAAATATTTATCTCAAACTTGCTTTAAAAACAAGGATCTCTAAAGCCCTGTGGCAGCTTAATCTTCAGGAATTTGGGGAAATTATGATCTTTATTTTGTTGGTTTTTGCCTTTCACTTACATATGTCTGTATACTTACGGGAATCTTCTCCTTAACCAGGCAAATTCTTTTTAGATGAATAAAGCACATTTAGGGAATAGCCCAAGGCAAACTAGGTTTTAGTATCTGAAGAATATATTAGAACGTTTTCAGAACTGTTTTTCTGCAGGATTGATGAACAAACCATCTTTTAATTTAAAATGTATCTATTTTTCACAATCAGAACATTTGTCTGAAAAGTTTATTTGAAACTTTCTGAACACTTAAAGCAACATTGCTTTAGATATTATGAAAGTGTCCAGAGAGAACTAAACAAAAATTAAACTGTTATAAATTACAAGTTTTTGCTTTTGAAAGAGCTTAAGTAAACAGAAAACATGAAACACGCACTGCAAGGAAATCCCCAACATTTCATGCAAGAGCAGGCAAGATGTAAAAAGCCACCTAAATTCACATATTTATACACTGAATCATCAGAAAAGAAGTATTCTTTAGTAAATCTGTACATCCAAATACACTTGGGGGCTACATCTAAGTTACATCATTTAATATTTCATACACTTGTTACCCCTTTTAAATCATCAAGTAAACACTCCAAACTGGGGGGTGGGCTGCTGAGTTAGGGAGGAAAGGAAGGAAGGAAGGAAGGAAGGAAGGAAGGAAGGAAGGAAGGAAGGAAGGAAGGAAGGAATCACTGTAGACATTCAATTATTTGTTTTTAAATCTAAACCTCCATGTGTTGAATGCTTCATCTTCATTTAATATTTTGCTTGCTAACTATACAAAAAATTGCAGTGCAGAGAACTCCACCTTTACAGTTAAGTTCCTTTGGATGGGTCTCAGATATAGTTCAATATACTTTTATAATGAACAAATGGAAACTTGGTCCTATTAAACTGAGAATGCATGCAAATATTTGACTTTTTTTAAAAAAACAAATGCATGTATATTTTATAATAGGTAACATTGCAAATTATTCAGGTAGCACCCGTGTTTCTTTGCCCTATCAAATAGCACTAAAATTGAAGGGAAGAAATCTTTCCAGAACAGTTATTTTTTGTACCAATAACTTACTAGAAACTTCTAAGAGCCATCTGTTTCACTTTCCTTTAGAACTGAATGGAACAAATAGTTAAATACAGTTTGTCCTCTTCACTGAAGAGAGCTAGTCTATTCATCTTTATGACTAATTTTGGGAAGATAAGCATGTACTGTGGTAATGCCTACTGAATATAATCCACACATTTGCTGAGAACATTTGGAAAAAGTCAGTAAGAACCTAGGATCAATGAAAACAGATGTTGCTTTAAATGATCCACGAGAGAGAGACCCACAGAGTGCCCAGTGCCACGCACACAATTTTTCCTGCGCTTTTTGGTGTGCAAGTTTATATACTCTTTTCCCACCCCACACCCTAAAATGTTAACTGTTCCAGATTTCAGTTCCTTTAGTCAATTTTCACATTCGTGTAGATTTTTCGAACAAAGGCACTTGTTCCCATATAGCCAATAGCTCCTGCAAAGACAAGATATATAGATATAATTAAGTTTGATAAAACTTTGATATATTTCCTAGAGAAGTACTTCTAAAAGTGGGATTTACTATTGAGTAAATATAAATAGGATACAACTCAACAAAAATATTAATGCTATGCAATCTTTTAAATTTCAAAAAAATGATCTACCTAAAATTCAGCTAACCCATTAATACTGTTTTGGTGTATTCTCTATTTAAGCTGGACTGAAAATTTCTACTCATTCAGCACATCATGCTCAATCTTATATTAGGTATGATGCTAAATGTCAAATGTGTGCCAGTTCAAATGTATGTATTAAATGTAAACATGGCATTTAATTGCGCAATCAAACATCAAACTCTGAACTCTGACGTGGCAAATATATTCAAGATTCCATTTCTTTTGAAGCAGTGGGTTTCCAGCACCTTTTATTTTCTTTACATATGAGATATTCTATTTTGTACCAGGTGAGTGACAGAACTGGTTACACCTGGCATATGCAGTTCCAAAAATGTGAACATAATCAGATACTTGCAATAGCTACCAGTGATTAACAGAATCAAACAATTGGAAGGGGGCATTTAGGCTATCAATTCCAACCCCTCCTCAGTGCAGTAATCTAAATTAAAGCATCCCAACAGAAGTCTGTCCAATTCCTGAACACAACCAGTGAGGAGCAGCCCACCACCTCACTAGGTAACTGGTTTTCTTATGGTGAAGAAGTTTTCCCTAATGTTCAAGCAGAACCCACCTTCCTATCCCTCATGGCCATTAATCTGTATGCTACACTCTGTGATATCTTATCCATCTTCCATGTGACAATTCTTCAGGAGAAATTAAGGAACAAGCAAGGTTAAGCCTTGAGATATAGCAGCTGAAAAGGGACATGATAGCATTCTTAAACTATTGCTCCTTTCACATACTGGATATATTTGAGGCAGGTTTTTACCACTGCAGAATAGAGTAGAACTATAGAGTAGAACTGTAATTCCAGGATCCTTTTCACAGGTACTATGTCATGCCAGGTATTTGCCATCTGATATCTAAACCAGTACAATGCTGTGTTAAGGACATGGGAAACACACATTCAGCTCTCCACTCAACTATGGAGCTCCCCAGAGTTGGTAATTTCTCAGCCTTCCATACAGGGCTGTTGTTGTAGAGAATAAAATTAGGAAAGACCACCACTTGAGATCCCTCAAGGCATCATGTAAGTTTGATTTCTTTTGTTTCTTATATTACGAATTTTTTGTCAGCCCATTTTTAAAATTCCTTCATTTTAAATTTTGTACTTTTGTCTTCTAGGAAATTAACTTATTTAATCTGCAAATCTTATGTGCATCCCCTCCACTTTGTCATCCAAGTCATTCATAAAAAAGTTGAAGAGTACTGGACCCCAGAATCAAACCCAATGCCCCCCAACTTGGTATCTCCCTTCAGTCTGAACATTTTAAGTATACTTTTGACCCAGTTTTGTATTCACCACATTTAACAAATCTGCTAAATGGGATGCCATGGGTAATTTAATTAATGTTCTGCTGGAATCAGGATATATTATGTTCTCAGCAGTTTCACAATATACTAATCTGATAAAAAGTGCAGCAAACTTGTTCCAGTAAAAATTGTCCATGTTGATACTGAATGTACAATCTTCATCTTAAAACAGCTTGCATAATTTTTTGTTTCTTACACCATCTAGCCTAAGAACTATGGAGAACTTAAACATGTGCACAGTGCAGATACGGTGGGGTTTTATCATCTTCCTCAATAAGCATGGTTATATTTTTGTTGAAGTGCCTAATTTTGCTTCATTTTCAGAAGAGAAAAATGAGAAATTCTGTCCCACAGAATTATGTGCAACTATACAATATCTTAACTGATACAGTGTTCCTATATATGGAAAAACAAATGCAGATCCATTGCATGTTATCAAAGCAATAAAGAAATTGGGGAGATTTCTTGCAGATTTTCTTCAAAGCGAAAGTTCCCTTTTAGAAATGGGAGAAATTTGCTTTATATGATACGGGGATTCAATCTCTATGTCTTGGAAATGATTAAAAGCATTCTGTTCATGTTCAAAGATATGCTTATTTATCTCCACAATTCCAGGATTCAAGCCTCTTTGGCTATCATAATGTCTGTTTGTGTACCTTTTCAGAAAAAGTCCAGGTCTGTTACACAATAGGGAAAAAACTTGCCCATTACTTTGCTGAGCCAAGTAATTTAATGTAGCCCATCCCAAGCTTCTATGGAAACCACAGCAAAGGAAGGATCTTCTGGGAAATTTTCTACTAGGCTAGAAAAGTCTAGTTCATGAGGCAGCCAGTTCAGATACTTCCAACTTGCAGAGATCATATGTAGTTTTTAAAAATGGCTTCTTTAGTTATTCTTTCTCTTACTTTGTCTACTTCATTTTCTCTCCCTTCTACCTTCCAACCTCATCTGATTTATTTTTGCTCTTAGAAGGGGGGAGGGGAGAGGGTGATAAAGATTAATTGGAGTCCCCCCCCTTCCTTTCACATTACAGCCATTCTTTCCTCTTGCCTGATCTCCATCTTGTTTATCTTTCTGCAAATAAGTTACTATGTGAAGCCATACCGTTTCTTCCTACCTCTCAGAGGTATTTTTAAGGAAAGCTGGAAGAAGGCAGAAATATCTATGACTGGGTAGTAAGAGAATTGTATAAGAAAGTGTTTGAGCATGCAGTTGAGAGATCAGTTAGATTTGCAGTTGGGATGCCTTAATTTATATGCAATTAATTCTAAATCAATAGAATTATTCTAATTATTCATTTCATTTTCTTAGCCTTGCCCTATTTTTGAGAGCAGTTCTGTTGCTCAAAGATCTGTGCAATCCTCAGCATAATAAATTGTATGTTCTTGCTTTAAAACATATGCATAAAAATGAATTCCTATAAAGATATACGTAACTGACTATCCCTTATGTGACTGTATATCTACTGAAATCAAGTAATTTTACAGCTCATGGTTCTTCAACATATTCAGGAAACTAAGAATATATCTGCAAAAACATATTAAATAGTTTAAAAGATTTGAGAAACTAAAAATTCCAAAAACATTCTGATCTTACCACACATTATTCCTAGGGCTGTGCTAAATACTGCCATATAACCAAAGTAAAATGATGTCTGAAACAAACCATACATCCTGGAGAAAAAAAACAGAAGATAGACAAATTTTAACATCCCTGAAATTACTAATAATTAAAAAATAAAGTTGTTGTTCTGTTATTTTGAGATAGACATATAATGTCAGATTACGTACTTTGTCTTGAAAAAGTAGTAATAAAAGGAATACATATAAACATAGATTGCAGTTGAAGCAGCAGACAGAAAACTTGTCCATTGCCTGAAAAACATAAATTAAGAATATATTTATTTATTTATTTATTTATATTTCAAATTTATCACGACCCATCTCACTG